TTTTCCTCTCTCCGAAGTGCTTATCTGCGCGCAGCCTTATCTGAGAGTTATCTCGGCGCGAAGGGGCGGGGGCCGGTAGTCTGACGGGCAGAGAAACTTCTTGCTCGCTGCTTGCCCGGTGTGTGTCTGTGTGTTGGGGAGAGGGGGGACATTGATTTCAATGCGGTCATCTCCGATGAGCCGGGACAGCTTGGGGAAGCAGCCGGGAGGAGGACTGCCGGGCCGCATCTTGCCTCCCGCCCCCGCCCCCGCCGAGCCTCCCTGTCATTCTTCCTGCTCTCGGCTTTGGGGTGGCCTCGGCTCCGGGGCGGTCTCACGCCCCCTCCTGCGTTCCCCCTCCTTTTCTCCACGCCGCGCTCCACCCCGCTACGTCCGATCCCGGAACGGCCCGGCTGCTCCGTGGCCGCGGGTGACCGCGGGTGGGCCTGGGTGGCCCCGCCGGCGTGAGCGCGTTGCTGCCGACAGGCGCGGGCCATGTCCGAGGTGCGCGGCGCCGCCGGGCCATCGAGCCGCCGGGTTCCCGAACTGCCCCCTGCCTCGAAGGCTCGGGGCTGTGGTCTCCCTCCGGCTGCCCCACGTTCCCCGGCTGAGTTGCGGTTTCTGGGGGATCGCGCTCGGGTCTGATCGGCGCAGCCCGGGACGCTCTGGAGGAGCCGGCTGGGGAGAACGCAGCGGTTTCGTTTTCGAGGACAGGTTGCCTTCCTCGCGCTCACTTTGGGGAGTCGTCCCCCCATGGAGGGGGCGTGCAGGGAATCGGGACGGGCCAGCGGCGACACACACAGGCCGCTGCGTTTCTTTAATGGGCCCGGAGGGAGCACGTTGTGGGTGGAAAGAAGATCTCGGGCAGCTTAGCAGGCGTCCCTGGGGTTCGGCGCTCAAGCCGGGGAAGGATGCTGCCCAGGGGTGGGCGGGGAGGCCCGGGGTTCCCGAGAGGTGCGGGCGAGGAAGGGCGAAGGTCCCGGTCTTTCGAGGGCCCTGTGGCGGCTGCGCAGGCTCCCTTGCCCTCTCCCGGCCCAGCGGCCGCCGGCGCCCTGGGCAGCGATGGGATCTTTGGGCAGGAGTCAGTCTCGTGAGCTATAAGAGGGAGTGGAGGTAAGGGTATGCTGATAGCCAGAGGTTTTGGTAAACCCTCTCCGTTTCTCCCCACTTCCTGCCCTCAGCCCCAGGAGCTAGAAGTCAGCTTGGAGCGGCGCCGGACCGTGGATGGCCTTGACTGACGCCGGCTGGTGCCTGCCGAAGCGCTTCGGGGCCGCGGCTGCGGACGCCGGCGACTCCGGGGCCTTTCCGGGGCGGGAGCCCTCCACGCCGCCTTCCCCCATCTCTTCCTCGTCCTCCTCCTGCTGCTCCCGGGGCGGGGAGCGCGGCCCCAGTGGCGCCAGCAACTGCAGGACACCTCAGCTCGACACGGAGGCGGCGGCGGGGCCCCCTGCGCGCTCGCTGCTGCTCAGCCCCTACGCCTCGCACCCCTTCGGGGCTCCCCACGGACCTGCGGCGCCCGGGGTCGCTGGCCCCGGGGGCGCCCTGTCGAGCTGGGAGGACCTGCTGCTTTTCACTGACCTCGACCAGGCCGCCACCGCCAGCAAGCTGCTGTGGTCCAGCCGCGGCGCCAAGCTGAGCCCCTTCGCGTCGGAGCAGCCTGAGGAGATGTACCAGACCCTCGCCGCTCTCTCCAGCCAGGGGCCGGCCGCTTACGACGGCGCGCCCGGCGGCTTCGTGCACTCTGCGGCCGCCGCCGCGGCGGCAGCCGCGGCCGCCAGCTCCCCGGTCTATGTGCCCACCACGCGCGTGGGCTCCATGCTGCCTGGCCTGCCGTACCTGCAGGGCGCCGGCAGCGGGCCAGCCAACCACGCGGGCGGCGCGGGCGCGCATCCTGGCTGGCCCCAGACCTCAGCCGACAGTCCCCCGTATGGCAGCGGAGGCGCCGCGGTGGGCGGCGGGGCCGCGGGGCCTGGCGGCGCGGGCTCAGCCGCGGCGCACGCCTCGGCGCGCTTCCCCTACTCGCCCAGCCCGCCCATGGCCAACGGCGCGGCGCGGGAGCCGGGAGGCTACGCGACGGCCGGCAGCGGGGGCGCGGGCGGCGTGAGCGGCGGCGGCGGGAGCCTGGCAGCTATGGGCGGCCGCGAGCACCAGTACAGCTCGCTGTCGGCGGCGCGGCAGCTGAACGGGACGTACCACCACCATCACCACCACCACCCGAGCCCTTACTCGCCTTACATGGGCGCGCCGCTGACTCCCGCCTGGCCCGCCGGACCCTTCGAGAACCCGGTGCTTCACAGCCTGCAGAGCCGCGCCGGAGCCCCGCTCCCCGTGCCGCGCGGCCCCAGCGCAGGTAAGGGCGCGCCGCCGAGTGCGGGTGTGCAAGGGTGGGGGAGCAGCCGCGGGATTCGGGCCCGGTATTCAGGGCTTGCCTGTCTGCGCCGCAGAGAGAGCGCTTGCAGGCTTGCGGCAGCGTGGCCCGAGTGTGCTGATAGGAATCTCTGATGCCCTCCGTCTCTCTCCAAGAGAAGTGCACGTGTGTACCTCAGTGTCTTGGAGAGACTGGGGCCTCGGGGAGTGAGTTGGGTCGGTGGGCATCTGGGAGGGAAGTGACAGCACGTTGCAGACTCAGTTCGGATGAGTGGAAGCCTGGAATTCCTTGGCGGGACTGAGTTTGGAGTATGGGACACTCGGTCCCCGTCCCTTGGTGGACGCATGTGCACGTGTGTGTGTGTGTGTGTGTGTGTGTAACTCTGGAGGTGAGGCCTCCAGGTAAGGAGATGTTTCCCGGGAGAAAGGTGACATAGGGAGTGGTCATTGCCTCCGGCCCAAATGAGGGGAAGAATAGATAAGAGGACACCTGGACTGGGGGAGCCCTGCCAGCTTATGCCTGGTGGACAGGCCTGCAGGCTGGGCACCAGCCCGGCTGCTCAGCTCTTGGTCCCTGCAGGAGGGGCCAGGCTTGGGATTCGGGAGCAGGGACACCAATTTTCCTTCAGAGTTGAGCTCATCAAATGTTCAGTTTCCAGTTCCATTCATTCCTGTGCCTGGGGACCATTCAGGGGTAAATTGGGAAAACAGCTTTAAAATACCTGGAAGTGCCTCCTTTGGAAGAATGTTTCGCTCTGCCCCTGCAGGGAGGGTGTGACCGCGTTGCTCAGCTCCTTGGCTCCTTTGCGGGGCAACAGGCAGCAGTCCTGTGGGTGCGTCCGAGGTCTTTCTTGCTTGGTGTTTCCCTTGTTAGATAACTTCTCTTCCAAGGCAAACCCAAACCCCTGTTGTTGCTGTTGGCTGGAGGGAGCTGGAAGGAGGCAGGCACATGAGTGCATACGGTGCCACCCGGGCCTCTGGGGTCCCTCGCGCCTGGGCTTTTTAGGAGCCTCTGTGGGAGCCCTGTCAGGGGCCTTTACTTAGGTAGGGCAGGAATTTCGCCACTCTTTCCGTCCTGCAGATGTTGGGCAGAATGCGGGGGCACAGATTTGGACAGCTGCCTCCTAAGTAACATTGGGAGGACTTCTGGGGAACACGTCTCCCCAGGCTTCTAACAAGGAGCCCAGATTTGGTCTCAAATTTCCCTCTTGTTTTACAAAGCCAGCCCTGGTGATGGCTCTTTATCAGCTGTGTGTAGCTTGAGAGTAGGGAGCCTACTTGAACATGGCCGCGAGGAGCAGGGGTAGGGGTTCCTGTTGAGATGTGCCCTGTTGGGATGGGTGGGACTCAGGAGAGCAGAGAGCTGTCACCCTTCCGGCAGCATAGGGACCCATGTTTGGCTCCTAGGAACTGAGAGACTGCATGAGAAATCAAAGGCTGGGCAGGTGGTGGTGGCTGGGGCTCGAGGTTGCTTTGCTGAGCCAGGGCACCCTGCAGGGAATCTGGGAGAGTGCTCCCCGTTGGGGTGGGGGTCTCCACACAACTAGGCTTGATGTCCAGATGCATTTCCCCTGGTCTTTGTTCCAGCACTTCACGTGACTGCAGGAGAACCAGCCCAGGGGTTCCACTGAGTCTTTAGGTGTTGACAGTACCGGGGTCTTCAGAGAAAGTCTTGGAGGATGGTGCAGTTGTTGGCAAGTTAGAAGTTGCTTTTTGGAAACTTATCTCATCCTTTCCCTTTTGGACATGGCACTGCAAAGTTAGTTAGAAAATTCTTACACCCAAGATTTTTTTTTTTAAGTATGATTAGGGATCTGGAAACACAGTTTATACAGTCTGTTAAGAAAGCAAGAAGCACTGGGATGAAGCTAGGGTTAGGAGTGGTGGGAAGCACGTGACACTTGCTTTGCTTGTCCTCACAGGTGTTCCAGGTACCAGCTTGCTAGCTAGATTTACTGTTTCTTCACTTTGATTTTTTTAAAACCAACTAATTTTGGAGGCTGACTAGTGAATCTATTTGAGCAAACACCAGGGCTGATACCTGAGTATGTGTAGCTTTATCTACCTGCACCATGTAGAGTTTTCTGGGGACCTACTTCCTACACCTCTTCCTGACATGATGGGTGTGATGGGCTCACCCTGGGGCGAGCTCAGGGTCCTGGGAGCCCTGCGCGCCCTGGCCCTACGCCCTTCCTTCCTAAGCTCCATTCCCTGGGTCCCAGGACCACATTGCAGGGCACCCAGAGCAGCTGCGTTAGCAAGCAGAGGAGAAACTTGGTGAGGAAGCTACCTGCACAATGAGATTTTGTAGTTTTTCAAAGAGCCTCATTTTTTATTTTCATTTTAGTCAGTTATGGGATTTTAGTTGCCTGGAGGGTTTGGGGAGGGGCAGGGAGAAAATGAAAGAGGAAAGATAGAGACTGATTTTAATTGAAAATGAGCAAACTTCCTGCCTGGATTTTACCTATTTCTTCATGGAGAACTTTAAGTGCAATCTACGCCTGGCTTTTCAGAGGACCTCAGAGCTGACACTACTTTCTTGTGGGCGTCTTTGTTTTCCCACGAGAGGGGAGGAGGCTAGGCTGGCTCAGGGCTGGCGATTTCAGGGACTGGCCCACTTCTTAGAGAGGGGCTCTGATAGGTAACATTTTAAAGTCAACAACAAAGACAAATACCTTGTTTAACTTTAGTGTCCTTGAAGTCCCAAGCGTTTTACTGATGACCGCAGTCAATAGAGGCTTTTAGGGCGGAGAAGAATAAATCTTTGTGATGTGTTGTGAGTTGCAGCATCCCCGTGACAACTTTGAACTCGGGTTGTGTAGGATGCTAGCTTTTTTTTTTTATTTAATGTAATAAATAAGAAAAACGAAGGAGGAGATTTGTTTCCTAGGGACATAGAATATTCCTGAAATTGAAATTAAGAGTTTTAATGCTGAAGTCATTTAAATAGCTTTATTATGCAATAGAGGGTACATCCAAGCCATAAACTGCAAGGGAATGAGAAAGAATAGAGGGGCTTGCTAGTGTAAATTATCTTCTGGTAAAACCCGAGCGTTTAGTGTGTATTTACTTTAAAAAGTGATTCAGAATGCCAGATTAGAAGGACCCTACACAGTAGGAGGCATTTATTTTTTCAAAAGCCTATATTTAATAAATAAATAAATATCTGTCTGATTTTAGAGACTAGATATTTATTCTCATATATAACCTTGAGGGGAAGTAATAAATGTTACAACCATTTACTCTTGATTAAGATTTGTTTTTATTAGCAGGTTTAGGTTAGTTGTGAATTCTGAAAACTAACCAAGTAACGAGATGCAAAACGAAATGCGCTTTGAACAGATTGCATACATTGAAAATTTAGCGTAGGAAAATAAGAGACAGTTTTATCACCCGGAATGTCTTGGTAATTTTCTCATCCGCAAAGTATGCAGCGAAATCTTTTGGAAAAAAAATGGTGCCTAGAAACAGCTAGATCCACTTCGAAGTCAGGCTGCTTCACTGTTTGGTCCTTGAAGCAAATAAAAAGCGCAGTCCCTGTCCTTAGTGACGGTCTGGTCCCCCGCCCCGCAAGACGTGCGGTCATTTTCTCATTCCCAAGGAAGTAATGCCAATATCCAGGAACCCTGCTTCTGGTCTCCTGTGCCTGCTTCCTACAGGAGCGAAAGCGGGTAAAGGGTGGCAGATCTAGAAAATTCTCTGAGTCACTTGAGAGAAAAGCAGATAAGGCGGCCTCACCGCGTCCCGGGGTGTTGGTGGGTTGCAGGGGGAACCAGCGGCCTCGCGCGTTAGTCTTGCGTGGCTTGCTCAGGTTTGGGTTTGGCAAGCGCCACACTGGCTTGATGGATTTCAGTTTTTAAAAGCTTAGGGACAGGGGATTCAAGGCGACTTCCCCACAGCCATTTCAGACTCACGCGCTCTGCAGCCAGCCCTGGCTCCGGCTTTCGGCTTTCGTGGGTTCTCCTGGTGGTGTGCGGGGGCGGGGTGCAGGCGCGCGGGACGCTTGGGCAGCAAGTCCCTAGCCGCGCAGCTGGGGAGAAGAGCGGGCAGGGAAGCCGGGCGCGCCGGCGCCGCCTCACCGGCCTCTCATCTCCACTCTCTACCGCAGACCTGCTGGAAGACATGCCGGAGAGCCGCGAGTGCGTGAACTGCGGCTCCATCCAGACGCCGCTGTGGCGGCGGGACGGCACTGGTCACTACCTGTGCAACGCCTGCGGCATCTACAGCAAGATGAACGGCCTCAGCCGGCCTCTCATCAAGCCGCAGAAGCGCGTGGTGAGTGTGTGACCCCCGCCCCACTCCGCGGCCGGATCCCAGCGCTCCCCGCGGCGCAGGTGCGGCTGCAGCCGCCCAGTAGGCGCGGGCCCTCGGCGCCAGCGCCCGCTGGCTCCCAGCCGCGTCGGGGAAGCCAGCACCTCCTTCTCCACCGGTGTCTGCGTGTAGGAAAGGACCACCCGAGTTCACGGCACGCATGCACACGCACACGCACACAAAGGGGCCGGGTGCCGCTGTTTTTTTAAAAGCGCGCCATCCTATATCCATGTACCTGTAGACGTCCCGATCAGGGCACCGAATACTTCTGCATTGGCAGGTGGTGGTGTCCTCCAGGGGGACGGATGGAGGTCAGATGCCGGAAGGAGAGCTCTCTCACTGTTCACTCCCCGGTCCGGCTCGCATTTAATTCACAAGCCTTCCCCCAAGCAGAGTAGCACAGGATCACACGGGCCCTTTCCATCATGCTCCCACAGACAAGCTGGCCCCCAGGTCCTTGTCTCTTTCATTGGCCTTGAGTCTGAAAATTTATTTACTCTAACCTTGGGTACTTTGAAATCTGGCTCTTTGGAGAACTGCGTAGAAGTTGACAAAATGTGTGGTCGTTGTGTTCTCAAATTCTGAATTTATCCGTTAGGACACATTTCACCGTGTTTCAAAATGATGATCTGATTTTCTTCTAGGATTGGGAGGTATTGTTGCTGTTGTGTCTTTGTTAGTGAGACTAGCGATTGGAGGACAGAAAGCACTCCCAAACTCCATTGCAGGGCTAACACTTGTTTAGTCAAACCTTTTAACGTAAAATATTTTACAGTTAGATGCCAGACGTCTTCAGTATCCAGGTAATTTATTTAATTGTTACACTCTAATTAGCAGAAACAAACGCTACCCGTGTTGTTTGTGTTAAATAGATTAGAGTGAAATTGCATCACAATGTTAAGTCTGACACCTTAAAGAGAAGCAATTAGTTTTATGGTTGTTTTTGTTTTTAATGCATTTAAAATAAAGTGGCCAAGGCTAATGAGGCGATGCGCCTCAAACTTGTTCCAGCCTCTGACAGCTTTGCATTTTCTTTAACTTAACGTTCCTTAACTTCGGTACCTGGCTCCAAGATTTTCATTTTTCTTACGTTGCCCCCTGTTTAAAAAGGAAAAGTAGTAGCAGTCACTGGAAAATATTCCACGGAAGTTCCTTGTTTTCATGTATTAGTGCATAGACAATGAAACCTATTCTTAGGATTTGGGAAAGGTACATGAAGTGGCTGAGCTCTGGAAGGTAACATTTTCTCCAGACAGCAGAAAGCTGTCTAGTTCTAGTTGCATTATGAATTTGATCTAGTGACGTTCGTATTGTGGTAGTGCCATTTGTTTTGTTCCCTTCCTAGTGGAAATAACTTTTAGCAGAAAGAAAACCGTTTTGAACATTTCTGAAGGGGTTAGTTTTCTTTCTGTGTGGCAGGTGTCTTGGCAGTGACCAAGGTCAGCCAATATGCTTTGTAAATGGGTTATAAATGATACCAATTGTAGGGCGTGTCACCATCAATTAGTTCTCCTTGTGGGCTTCTTATTTATGGTTTTGATGGGTCTGGCTTAGTTCACAGAAACAGAATGTTGAACCCAAGTTTGTTTAGCCAGCAGTACAGAACCAATCAGTGTGAATTTGAACTTGCAATACATTGCAAAACAAGAGATTTATGGTGTAACTCAAATTCCTTGTCAGTGAGGAATATAACTGAGATCCCTTGTTACAAGGAACTTTTATAACCCATTCACCTTCTTTTCACATGTTTATGGGGACTGGCTTCACTTATGATGTGCAGTTGACAGTCATAAAGTTCTTGGTTATATTGGCAGATTCTGATAACAAGTTTGCTTCACATTGGCTCCAGATTCCACTGAAAACTGTCATAAATGGCCTGTTTGTAAAATGAACCTCCCTGTCCGTCCTGTACTGATTTCACATTTATGAAGAGAAGGGAGTACTTGCTTAGAAAATGATTTTCTGTTCACCACAAGCGAAAAGAAGCACTGGTGTTTAAGCAGTTGTTAATGTATTTTCATCAGTTTAGCAAAGCAGTGCCCCTGGTAAGAATCGACTTGGCACTGACTTCTTAGCAACACTGCAGTGCTAAAAGGCTTACCAGTGTCTCTGTTTTAGAACTTGTCTGTAATGAGAGATGCTAAAGCACTTGGACAGGGTGTGAGCTGTAAGGTTCCATTTCTTCCTGTGTATTTGCCGGCAGAGATTGGGAAGTCTGTCAACTTAACCTGTAAATATTCAGCTCCTGCTGTTTACGTTTTTGTTGCACATTCTTAATAATAATGTTTTTCTTCATCAGTCTAGCTAACTTTCCAAATCTTGTAACTGGATTTGGTCCCTGGATTTTCCCCATAGGGTTTTTATTACATAGTAATTTAAAACAACTTTCAATTCGATAATTAGAAAACAAATGTGTATTTTGTCACTCTGGGGAGGAAATTAAACTAGCTTGCATTCTACATAATCACAAGTAGTCATTTAAAGGAAATAAATTTGCTTTAATGGTGTTAAGAGCATAAAGAGAATGTGGAATTGTGAGTGACAGTGCCAGACTGCCATCCTGGTCATACCTATTAATCCTTTGTGTGAAGAAAAGTCCAGTAAGATACTGGTAGGTCAACAAAATGCATTAGGATCACTGTATATGTGACAAGGCCAGCATTAAAATAATCCCATAAAATTTCCTTTTGTACCATTTGCAAAATGGACTAAATAAAAATCCAGGTAACAGACAATCATGATGGTAATTATGGAATATATTAAAATGCATTTCTTTACAAGAAGTTTGTAGATTTTCTAAGCTGCTTTTGTGTGAATGTATATAGTCCCTTCCAGAGTGCTGGTTTATTCCTCTCGAAAATCTGATTATCTCTGGTTTTCTGGTGAAGTGGAGACTGCCCGAAGCCACCTAGCACACTGGCAGGTGGTTTGCAATCATATTTCATGGCTCCTGGCTCAGACCTGTGCCAGCAATGCCTGACTGAGTGCAGTCCATGAGTGGGAATTCGGGGTAAGGGAAAGGACTCTTATATTATTAATGTCTGGTTGCATTATTACTTCTGGTGTGTCTTGGAATATAACTCTTCGAGGAGGTTCTAATTTCCTTTAGAAAGTAACAGTAATTGAGAAACTCTTAAGTTCTTGGAGAAGAAGCTACTGGTGAAACTCTCCATGTTACAATGCTGGTGAAAGCTTTGCCTGACGATACTGGCCAACATGCATGCGATGTTTTGCAGTTAGTCCATAACACATATATACTGGAGGAGCCAATCAAAATGCATGGGATTGAGCACACTGTGCAAGATTCATGTTTCTTGGTCCAGGGAGGTCAACCTAATTACCCTTGTCGTCCCCACCCACCCCACCCCACCCCCAGGCAATTTTTTTTTTTCCCCAAAGAGATATTTCACTTACATTAAACCAGGTACATGCTTGTTGATGACAGGGACATGATGCCTTAATGTATGTAACAGTTACACAAACATCGGTGTTTCTCCACTGACATTCTTGTGCTGTTTTCCAGCCTTCCTCACGGCGGCTCGGATTGTCCTGTGCCAACTGTCACACCACAACCACCACCTTATGGCGCAGAAATGCCGAGGGGGAACCCGTGTGCAATGCTTGTGGACTCTACATGAAACTACACGGGGTGCGCCTTGTGTTCTGCTCTCATGTGTACTCGTTGGGTTTCTGGTTTGTACATGGTTTCAGTTTTAAACATAATCAGCAAATGAAAGGGTAAGAGTAAAATCTGGATGGACTAACACTTTATTGAATCTAAGATGGTGCTAGTTACGCCGTGAACTGTTCTGTACCAAAAGAAATTTAAAAAGCTGCCAGTTAAACCATCCCAGACGCCCACTGGGAATCTCATTCCAGGTTTAGAATTGTGGAAATGTGGAAACTGTACATTTTAGAGTTGCTAACATGGTAGCAATCATTTTAAAAAACTGTGTACTTTTAAAGAAACCAAGGGGAAATGCACAATAGCTAGTTAATTTGTACATCTTAACTCTTTAGAAATTTTGAAGGCAATGAAACACATTTGTACAAGGAGTAACAGTTTGACAGTTTTGGTTAGAAACATTCTATACTTCAAAAAGATTGTGCAAAATGAGACCAAGAAAGAAAACTCTGTATCTGTCAGGGAAAGAGGGCATATGATAGCTTTTTAAAGTTAAATTTTAAATATTGAAATAAATCTTTACCTGATAAATATCTACTCTGTAATTAAATAAAATCTTTAACCAATAAAATAAAATCTTTACCCAATAAAATATTTACTCTGTAATTAAAGTTATTTCAAACAATATGTATTAAGATGAAGAACTCAGAATTTCCTTTGCAAATCACCCCATTTTTTTTTCTGAAGGAATTTCTGCTTTTGATGGGAAAAGTGTAGTCTTTGTGCACTTGGAATCTATTGAGTGTGTCTAAAAATTGGATTGAAATTTATGCCAGATACTTTTAAATGAGGGCTTTCAGTACCAATGTTGGCTCCTGTGTTGGGTTTTCCTTCAAAATAATATTTATTAAGCTTATGGCCTATGAAAAATTTTTAGGTGCCTCGACCACTTGCTATGAAAAAAGAGGGAATTCAGACCAGGAAACGAAAACCTAAGAACATAAATAAGTCAAAGACTTGCTCTGGTAAGTATAACAAATTGTCATTTGATTGCAAAGTATTTGCCACTTTTAACCGTGGAGTATGCGTATATTTATAATGCTTATTTTGACTGTTGCAGGTAATAGCAATAATTCCGTTCCTATGACTCCAACGTCCACCTCTTCCAACTCGGATGACTGCAGCAAAAACGCTTCCCCTACAACACAACCCACAGCCTCAGGGGTGAGTGCTACAAACCGCGTGGCCAGACAGTGGGAGTGAGTGAGTGGGTTACTCTATAGTAAATTATCTTAACATTTTATCTTATCTGGTAGTTCAATAATCTAAACCAACAGTTCAGCTGAGTTAGTTGATACCTAAGAATAGTTTTTAGAGGAAATCACATTTGAATGTCAACAAAATGACAAACCTAAGTACATGACAAACCTCTGAATTAAGATCTAAATCACTTTTTTATGGTTAAATTAACCCAAGTTAAAGCGAGAAGTTTTGGTTTGAAGAGCTTTAAATTGCTTTATTTTTGGGTTTTTAGCAGAGTTGCTATATCTGAACATTTTTACGGTAGATTGGAAAAACTACCGGGTCTCATGGGACCCGGGGACCCCCAGCATTTAAAGCCACTTTTGCTTGTGACAGCAGTTCCAGCTGTCGCCTATTCCTTGCCGCGTGTTCGGTCTTCCTCCCCTCCAGGGGCAGGCAGCCCGGAGACCCTGTACCTCCAGAGGCAACTCCCGAGGCTTCTTACCCGATTTCCCGATTTCCAGGGCCGGGGAGCCGCTGCCTGGGTCTTTGTGAAGGTCACAAAGTGAGTTTGATTGAAAACGATCGAAACTCAGTTAAGAGCGTTGTCCCACCTTAATGCTTAGCTGGAATATTCTTAAAGAAAAATAAAAAAGCCTAAACAAAGAAAATAATCGGGCCAAGCAATCCGAATTTTAGAATGATTTTTAGGATTATGCTAAGATATTTTGAAGTAAACAACATCATTTGAATTCCTATTTGCATGGCAATTGTTTTCTACAGTTTCACCATGGGTTTATTTAGGGTACTTTATTTTTAATTTAGGGTACTTAAATACTGCAGATTTTCTGGTCCCACCCTGAATTAAGTCCTCTGCTGCCAGAGGTGGGGCTGGGAAATTGGTGTTTTTTTTTTTTTTTTTTTTTTTTTTTTTTTTTAACAAGTACTCCAGGTGAAACTGAAACTGTTGCCTGGGAGGTGTTTGGGAACCGCCGACCTGGCTGATGGGTGTCTCCGCAGTATTTTTACTGACTTTTAAGAAACCAAAACGAAATATTTAAAGTATTTGCACAGCGCTTCTGTTTATGTTTGATACGTCTTTGCTCACCGACTCATTCTTTTGAGCTGCTTTTTTAATCAAACAAGGCGTCCATTCGGATTCTTCCACGGGGAAAAAGCCTCCCGTTGGCCGCTGGTTGGTCGGTTACAGATGCATGCTGAGCAGTGTGTCTAGCCTTTGTAAAAGGGCTCTGGCGTGCAGTGTTTTGTCCCCACCGCCCCTCCCAGGAGAGTTACATAGATGTAACTTCAAGGCTCAAAGCAGTAACTAGCACAGGTGAATTGTGGAGAAATGAAAAGACTGAAATTATTTAAAAATACTGCTAGTCTCTAAGTCACCAGAGCAGTTGAAGGAGGCAATGCATTGGCTTTCCAAGGCTCGGAGGGAGCAGCCGGCTCTCGGGCTGTGGGCTCTCACTTGCTGCCAGCCAAAGGGTGGCAAAAGCCTGATCTAATTGATAAATAGGGCTGCCCGCCCCACCCTGGGCTTTGAGCCCTTGTGGGTGCAGTGGGTTTTGCTTTTGTGGCTTTGTGATGTCAAGTTTCGAAGTAGGCTGTTCCACCTTGGGAAGAGCCCAGATTTGCCTGGCCCAGGGGCTTGGGCTGGGCTGAGGCCCTCTTCCCTGGGGCTGTGCAGGTGGACATGCCTTGTTGGCCATGACTTTCCAGGGAAAGGTCAGCTTCCTGCCAGAGGCCTAGAGGCAAGGCAGCCGGGGTGCTGGGACCCCAGGTCTTCTGCTGGGAGCCCCTCTCCCTCCTGTAGCCCAGGTAGCCTCCATGGGAGCTGGGAAGCCAGGGATGGCTGGTGTGGGTCACAGGAATTTCCCCGGGGCAAGATGTGAGTGTGTGGGAGGGCAGGCTGATGGGCCAGCCCTCCCCTCCCCAACCAGAGGCTGACCCCTCCCAGGCTGGAGGGCATGGGGCCGGCATCAGGCTCTCAGGTCTCTGTTTTCTCTAAGGCCCTACCCTACCTCACGTGGCTGGTGTGGCAAGCAGGCCAGTGTGGCTGAAGCCCATGTGCCGGCTGCCTTTGGAAACGTCTCTCGGAGAGTAACTTCAGGAGGCTGGAGTGGTCCCCTCAGCTTGTTACCGAGGAAGGCTGCTGTGTGCCCTGGGCCCCTAAGCACCTCCCGGGGCCTCTCCTTGATGGGCTGAGCCTGTGTCCCTTTGCAGGGCCGGTGTGGCTGCCCAGGAGCTGTGCAGAGCGGGCTGGGGGAGTCGTGTGCCAGCTGCTGGCAGACGTGTCTTTAAAAGGTGGTGTGTTGACAGAGCTGTGTCATTTCCCCATTCTGGTCCCAACGTGGGCTGATGGAGGGCGCTGGCTTCGTCAGTGACTGCGTGAAGTGCTGTAGGGGAAGGAAATACCAGATCTGAGAGCGAGGTCGAGGTCGTAGTTGATGTGTTTGATGTTTGTTTGTGTCTATCCTTGGCTGGTCAAGTTTAAGTCTCCTAAAATTGGGTGCTCTCTGGGACGAGGTGGAGATGAGATGAGAGCCCTGGGGTGTATTCGGGGACTCTCTGGTATAAGGAAGGGAGGTGGAGGGGCCGACACCTCTACATTTATAGATGGAAAGGGCAACTTAATTGCGTTTCTTTAATGATTGCTAGTTTCTGCAAGGGAATCACGAACTGATCCTGGGTCCACATGACATCGTCAGAAACCACTCAGAGGTCTCGAGTAGGCATTCCCAGCAGGCTTCCTGCAGTGCCCCTGACCTGCCTTGCTGGTGGGGTGGGCCCTTTACAAGGTGGCGCCAGGCTCCCGAGCTCTCTTGGCTGGTTTTCAGGGAGCCGGGGTGGGGGAGGCTGTCTTCGTTGTCTGGGGCTGTGAGTTGGCGTTTCAGGCTGCCCCTCCTTGGCGGGCACGGAGGGCGGGCAGGATTCCCAGCGCACACGCCCTCCAAGGCCAGTGTGGAAGTGCCGTGGGCGCCATTTCTGTGCTGCTCTGAGGCCGGCTTTGTTGACTTACTTGTCTTCTGTACTTGCTACAAGTAGACATTCTTACTGATCCGAGTCATCGGGTTATGACCTGGCCACCTCATGACTCAGTTTCTCTTTGTCAGCTGTGCATGCATGATGCAGGCGGAGGGCTGGGCAGCGTGCTGTCTGAGGCTGGGAAGACTCATGCCCGGTGACCTTGTATTACTTATTGCCTGGTGTGTTCCTTTGGATTTCTTCGTGCTTTTAAAAGGAATTGTTAAACTTAATTTTTGATAGATGGCTGATTAATTTCCATGACAAAAATAGGCTTCCGTTCTGGTTAGAAATGTTCCTATCACATAGATTTTGCTGAGAAACATGTTGATCCATAGAAACGTCAGACTTTATTTGGCATTATAATGATGTTCAAATCTGTTCCCTTAAATTTCATTTGTTAACTGAGCTATGTTTTATAGAGGTTCTTTTCAAAGCTATTTAGGAGAAAAACGCAGCAACGTATTATTCCACGCAGTTCTCCTAAGATTTAAAAATCGCCCATACACGTTCTCATCTTCCCATGAGTTACTATTCAATATTTGAAAAACTCGAGGGCATTTTATATAAAATTTATACAGCCCAGCCCCCAAACTTCATAGACAAAATGTAGTTTTTCCTTTTTAACTTTCTTTGGAATAACAGGGATTGATTTGGTGGTGAAATTAGCAATAAGACTTAAAAGTCTGAGGATAAGGAATCACTGAATTTATTTTGCCTGTCTAAGAAGTTTCTATAAATCTTAAAGCGAAAACCTACTGAAGTTGATATTAAAACTGAAAATAGGCCGGCGCCGCGGCTCACTAGGCTAATCCTCCGCCTTGCGGCGCCAGCACACCGGGTTCTAGTCCCGGTCGGGGCGCCGGATTCTGTCCCGGTTGCCCCTCTTCCAGGCCAGCTCTCTGCTGTGGCCAGGGAGTGCAGTGGAGGATGGCCCAAATGCTTGGGCCCTGCACCCCATGGGAGACCAGGAGAAGTACCTGGCTCCTGCCATGGGATCAGCGTGGTGCGGTGGCCACAGCACGCCGGCCGTGGCGGCCATTGGAGGGTGAACCAACGGCAAAGGAAGACCTTTCTCTCTGTCTCTCTCTCTCACTGTCCACTCTGCCTGTAAAAAAAAAAAAAAACAAAAAAAAAAAAAAAAAAAAACAAAAAAAAAACAAACCAACAACCTGAAGATAGCCTCGACATCATTAAATGTAGGGTCTTCAAGAAGTTCATAGAAAAAAAATACACGTTATGAAGTAACTGCATGGATTTCAGAAGTTCTGCACCAACATAAACTTCCTTTAATCCCATGTGCCATGAACGTTTTCAAGTGGGCGGACCAGGGCAGTCACTGGAGAAGGCTGTCTGTCCGACCCTGGTTTTTCTGTCGTGTGCACCTGGTTGCTCTGTGGGAGGCGCTCTGCACAGTTGAGTGGGACAGAGTCCCAGCCCTGGCGTTCACTGCCGGTGGCCTGTGGCTTGGGCCCACAGATGGGTCTGTCACCGCCGGCAGGTTGGGGGTGCTTTACCAGAGAGGGACAGTTTTGGGAATCCAATCAGGGAACTCTGGAGACTCAGGAATTGCTTCTAAGAGTGGAGGACAATGCAATCAGCTGGGTAGGGTTTTTTTTTTCCCCCAGCTGTTTGAGAGGCAGAGAGAAAGAGTGAGCGAGCACTCCCACCCATGGGCTCATACCCCAGATGCCCACAATGGCTGGGAACTAGGCTGGGCCTGAGCTGGAAGCTGGGGACTCAATCCAGGACCCCCGCATCGGGGACAGGGAGCTGAGCAGTTGTGCCATCACTGCTGACTCCCCAGGAAGCTGGAGTGAGCAGCCAGGACAGGCGGGCAAACCCGGGCTCTCCAGTGGGGGGTGTGGGCATCTTGCTTGCTCGGCCAAATGCCTGCCCCCGCCTGGTTGGGTAGGGCTTTTGCAGGGAGCTATTGGGTTCAAGGGAGG